TCTGAAACTCTATCAGAGGTCTGATACCTTCATTTAATCGAAGTTATAATGAGGCAACGTTAATGTATTTACATTTTAAATACAATCTGATGAGTAATGATACTAATAAAGATAAGTAAATTTTCTTCGAAATGTAAATCACTAAAATCTTTCCTTTGGTTGCGTGATTTAAGTTAAAACTCTTTTAATATTACAAGGTATTTCATCAATATTTTTCGCAGATCTTCGTGGTGTAATTAAAAGCATAATCGACGCGTATTCGAAAGGTCCAGGGTTTGAATTCCGGTGAGGGCACTGCTCATTTTTCACATCTCCTGCTTCAGAAGAAACCTAATGTCTCTACAATATACTATAGTTTTAAATGTTAGCCTGCAAAAATGTAAGATTTTAAGAGAAAAACTCTGTGTTATATTTTATATAAAGAGCTATAGGGTAACACATTTTGTAACTCAAAAGTAAAAGCTACAAAAGTTACATTAAATCCGTTTCCATTAATGCCTTTCGTTTTGATTTAATGTGAAATGAAACGCTTATCTTAAACATATTATTGGAGATGTAATATTTGATTTGTTCGAGAACAATGTAAAGTTACGTTCACTTTAGCAAAAGAAAATCTATCCATGTGAAAGAAAGTACACGAACTAGACTTGTATCGTAATTAAAGCTTGGTTCCCAGAAGAGAAAGTATCTTACTCAGTTGAAAATTAGTTCCTGAAAGGTACACTGCCACCGATTTCCTAAATCCTTCTCAATAGAAATAACAATCATTGAATCTCTTTGTTTATTGGTGATTCAGCCTCCACCATTGCCTGTCCATCGACTCTGTTTCGAAACAAGAATCCAACCAACTACAGATAGGAGAAGAGATTAACAGATGGGTGGAGAATCTCAGATTTATTTGTTTTTGTAGACAATGGTTCTTTTTTATCGTCCCATTGCTCGCGAAGCCAAATTGACCGTGGCTCGAATGCTTTCATTGGGGAACAATTTGTAATAAAAGTCTGCGAAGGAAGAACTGCAGTAATTATTCTTTAGAATTAGGTTCAGGGGCTGTAAATAAAACAGGTGAGTGTCTGATTTTGGTTACCTATTGTTCCTTGTGCAGAAATAAAGTAAGATAAAACGTAGGGATGTAGATTTAATGGATGGCATAAAGCGTGTAATATAAAGAATGCAAAATGAATACATTAGTGCTTTGTAATCGAAGGGAAATGAAATAAAAGTGAATGAAGAGCCAGAATAGGACCTTATAAGAAAAAACTAGGGATCAAAAGTGCAAAATGCAAACAACAAATATTTAAATTCTAGATTTGCATAAGTCTCCTATATTTCTTCAATTCAGATTTAAATTTTTACTGTTAAATTTGGCTGTTTATCTGAACAACTATCTTCTATCCAGAGTCTAGTTTTCATGACAATGTCTTGCTTTAGGCAGATTTTAGCTTAGCTTCAAATACATAAATATCTTGAAATATAGCAAAATAGGACATAAATTTGAAAATAAATTTTAAAAAGAAAATATATTCTTTTTATGTACATTTATATATAGCGGTTAACTCATCTATGCGATATATTGCAAAACTCGTGTTTGTTGTTGCTCTTACGAGTCTCACTTATCTGAGAAATGTCAGCACAATCCCACGACATTCATCGTGGTAAGGAGTCATATGTGCCTGTTTTTGGCAAGAGCCTTGAGCACTATATAGGTGACAACCCGATTTTAGCTCAATTCTGCCTCCCAATGTTGAGAGCGAGCCCCGCCCCGGGTGGACGAGTCTGAGGGTCTCCTACCCCCTTCTTCTCCTACCATCAACCTCTCTTTAAGACTTTAGGCTTGCCGCATTTTTAGAGTGTCTTCATGCCGCACAGACGCTATACATGCATGCCTTCTCGGATTCTAACCCAACCCTTCAGTACGGCAGTCACCGTCATTAGCCACTATCTCGGTTGGGCGGCAAAACTCGTGTTTAATACCACCAAGGAATCCGTTCAATCTTTTTTCATAATGAAGAAGCTTTTAAATTTTTAGGACTATAATGACTACTTAAATACTTAAACCGCTAGCAGATACTGAGCCATTTATTCTAAATAGCAGTGACATAGAGAACTTTCACTTAAGACACATAAAAAGTGACTACAAATGAACTAAATAAACTTCTCGTTTTGGGAGTTATAAATTGTATCTGAAGCAAATGAAATTTAGGCCAATTACCCTATGGGAAGCTATTTCTTGTGAGTAAATCATCAATTGCTGATATAAAAGTTAAAGTAATACTTAATGATAATATGAATGAAGAGTAATAATAGATGGATACTCAGGATTTAAAACACAGTGTTTCAATATGTGACACTGTTAAACACAGTGCTTCAAAACACATTGTTCAGAAGCCTGTTTCAAAGCTTTTTTGTACATTGTCTCTTCTAATTAGTTCCGCGTTTTCTGCCCTGATATTTTTGAATTTTGTATTTAGGCATTAACTGCATGCCATTGCAATTTTAAATTACCTTATGTAAAGCTCGATTTGCATCAATTGACCTTAATTCATGGCATTGCAAATAGATGATCACCTGAGGGAGTAATCTGGGAATTCAACTGGTAGATATTTAACTTAGATTTTAGAAGTTCCACTGTATTAAAAGCATACAATTTGGTATAACGTGTGTTCAGTTCTTCTGGCATGATCTGGAGTTTGTCATGATTATTGTAATGTTTTGTAATCTGTATAATTATTGTCTGAAGAGTTTTTGCAAGAAAGTAAATGTTTGTTTAAACTGTGTCTAAGCAACAAAATGTCTCATGCATATTATCACTGGATTGAACGTTAACCCTTCAATGTATTTTAGTCGTTTTACTGCCCTTCGGTGAAGCAACACACTTCGAAACATCTCCTACTTACACCTAACCAGCGTTGGGGAACTCTGTGTTATCAACTAAACTTTGGGAAACTATACTGAATAGACGTTGAGAAACTATGCATTATCGATATATACAGGGTGATTATAATTAAAGTTTAAGTTTCAAAACGCTATAAAAAAAGAACCACTCATGAAAATGAGGTCAAATTTGAAAGGAATGTTATTGAAGAAGGCGGAAAGCGTATGGCAGAAGAAAAAATTTAGTTTCAAAAGTTAGCAACAGATGGCGCTGCAAGCGGAAGAAGACGTAAATTAAAATGTTAGTTAAATTTCAGTGTTATAAAGCCGTCAGGTACCAGGCTGTTCCTCATTTTGCGTCTCAGACGTTCGCCATGGGTGTTTCACTGCAGGACCGCGCTCTGCTGGTAAAGCTGTATTACAAGAATGATGATTGTGCAAGAGTAGCTCTCTGCAAAAATTCAGGACACTGAAAGGGTATATAAAAGAAGGCATTGGTCCAATGAGTGTCGTATGTCTAAAGAAAATGAATGCAAAAATTCGAAGCGACAGGTTCGTTTGATGTGCAATCTGGTAGAGGAGAGAAAACGAGTGCATTCGACGGTAGTTGAAGAAGTGGCCCCAGCATTACAGGAGGGGTCGGCCGGTGGTGTGCAACCGTGCAGTGCACGAGGAATTGCCCGAACATTGGACAGGCCTACGAGCACGGTGCTGAAAATTGTACGAAACATCCTGCAATGCTATCCGTACAAAATTGGCTATGTGCAGGATTTGCTTCCGTCTGACCTGACAGCTAGGGAGACGTTTGCGTTAGAATTCCTGGCTCGCATGGAAATGGATAATGAATGGCCGTGGAAAATTTTGTGGATAGATGAAGCCCATTTCTATCTGACAGGATACGTGAATACCCAGAATTGTCGAATACGGGCAACAGAAAATCCATTGGCAAAGCACCCCGTACCACTTCATCCTGAAAAGGTCACTGTATGGTGTGGCTTTACGGCATCCTTCATCCTACAACCATATTTTTTCGAGCAGACGGGTGCTTCCGATCCTGTTATCGCAACCGTCACTGGTCAGAGGTATGCGTCTCTTTTGCGCAACCACGTGATTCCAGCTCTGCAACAGCATGGATGTGTGGATGAAATCATTTTTATGCAAGATGGCGCTCCTCCGCACATTGCACATCACGTGAAGCAGCTGCTGAGGCGCCATTTCGGAAATGCTCGAATTATCAGCCGTCATTTCCCTACAGCCTGGCCGTCCCGATCGCCTGATCTTACTCCGTGTGATTTCTGGCTGTGGGGATATCTGAAGGATGTTGTGTTTCCGTGCTCTAATTGCAAATTAGCGGAATTAAAGGCACGCATTTCACAAACATTCTGAACATCACCCCAGAGACACTGCGATCCGTTGTGGAACATGCTGTTTGTCGCTTTCAACTTGTTGCACACAATGGTGGACACCATATTGAACATGTTTTGCGCCAGTCTCGTGACAGTTCCGAACTTCTTTGATGAATGGTTCTTATGCGGTACGTCGCCGCAAAACTCATGAAACCGATTTGTCCCTTTCGATGTGATATGTACAGTCATGCAAATAAAATTATTCAACAATTCTAATTTGTCAATACGTTTTAATGTGTAACTTCCACCTTAGCCGTTGTTTTACGAATCATTTCTCGTCGTGATTCGGCCGCTTACAGCGCCATCTGTGGCTAACTTTCAAAACTAAATTTTTTCTTCTGCCATACGCTTTCCGCCTTCTTCAATTTCACATCATTTTCATCAGTGGTTCTTTTTTTATAGCGTTTTTAAACTTAAACTTTAATTATAATCACCCTGTACATAATTCAATTAATCAGCCTAAATATTTCCAAGATCGTTTTTAGCTTTCATACTCAAGATTTTACTTACTTAAGATTTTACTTAGTTCTTTAATGAGCCGTGACATGAAAATTACACGAATTAGAACAAAAATCATAAGACTAATTGTTAGGGCGAAAGACTTTATAATAGAATAAACATATATGCTAACAAATCATCTAGCTTTCTAGCATGATCGATGATCGATTTCAGTGTTTTTTCTGTCAAAGATGGGCTTTTTTTCGATGAATGTTTTCCTACTTGCTTCCGCAGTACGTATACTAAATTTGGAACAATACAGAGAAGATTAGCGTGTCCCCTGCGCAAGAATGATACGCAAGAGAGGCAGACAGAAAGAATCCTCTTTTTCTGGAGCTTTTTTATTTTTTTAAATAATTTTTATATGTTTATAAGTTATTGATATATATTTAAACGGCGAGAACAGATGAAACCAACAGAAAGGGTAAAAAATAAACTGCTACTTATTAACAAAATAAAACATACTTTAACAATACAGGGTGATTATAATTAAAGTTGCGATTTCAAAACACTGTAACTTCAAAACTACTTATCAGAATGACTTGATATTTTACTAGAACAATCGTGAGGCACTGGAATTTTGTTTGGAGAGATAAAAAATAGTTTCCAAAATATGCCGATAGATGGCATTGTCAGGGTTCACACTGCTGTTGGTATGCAAATTACTAAGATGTAACATGCACACGACAAACATGGCTAAGATAAAAATGCAGAGCACTAATGACACACATAGCATTTGGCCTGAGTGCTTCATCACGATTCTGATGAAGAAGGATCTTGCTCTTCTCGTGAAGCTTCCCTATCAGAATAGTGACTGTGAGTTAACAGCTTTCAGGAAGTTCCGGACATTAAAAGGCATAAAATCAACCCCAATGATCACGTATGAGATGCGGAAAATGATAGATGAATTCGAAGAGACCAGTTCATTTGACGTGAAACGAGGTAGCGGACGAAAACCAGTTTCGGCGGCGGTAATGTAAAATGTGCCCACTAAGAACAGACAGTGATTCAGACATTAGCAGTGCACGGGGAATTAACCGGATGTTGGCTATGCCTATCAGCACGGTGCCTACAGTCCTATAGAACATCTTGCTCTGTTAGCCGTATAAGATAACTCACGTGCAGCCTTTGCTATCTGCTGACTTGGCAACACGTGAATCATTTGCACTACAATTTCTTGCCCGGATGGAATTGGATAATGAATAACCTTGGAACATCATGTGATCTAACGAAGCACATTTCTATTTGCGAAATTCTCTAAATACCCAAAATTGCAGGACATTTTACGACCGAGAATCCGTTCCCGCTGCACCCATTATCTCTTCACTCTGAAACGTTCGCTGTTATGATGCGGAATACTGCATTTTGTTTTCGTTTGCGTCGGTCCTTTCTTCTTCGAGGAGATCACACCTGCGGGTCCAATTATCTGCGCCGTCACTGGCAAGTGGTATGAAACGCTTTAACATAATCATGCTTTACGGCACTTCAGCAACGTCAATGTGTGGATCGCACAATATACATGCAAAAGGGCGCTCCTCCATACATTGCTGCTTGTGAAGCAGTTGCTGATCACTCATTTCGGAGATGATAGAGTCATAAGCCGCCATCTTCTAACAGCGTGGCCGTCTATCTCTCCGGACTTAAACTCGTGTGACCTTTGGCTTTGGGGATATCTGAAGAATGTTTTTTTACAGAGGGCGTATTGCGAATCTGGCCGATTTGAAGGCAAGTTTCACGCATCATATTCATAGCATCAGCACAGGTATCCTCCGATCTGTTGTGGAGCATGCAGTTTTGAGCTTCCAGTTATCAACGGAACAAGGAGGAGAGCATATCGAACAACTTATGCATTAGTCATCCGTAAGGTGTTTGTTTCGTGAAGCTTCTCTTCTCAGTATCACTGTTATCTCTGTAAATACGCATTCTTGTCTTTGCGCTAGTAAAATTGTCGTAAATCTCTTTAGAGTCTATTGTTTCCTTTCGGCTATACATCCACAACAGCAATATGAACACTAAATGCTCCACCTATCGAACAATTTTGGAACTATTTGTTTTTCCATTACGAAACAAAATTCCGTTATCTCAGGACTATTGTGGTAAAATATCAAGTCATTCTGACCTGTAGTTTTAAAGTTAGATATATTTGGAACCGCAACTTTAGTTATAATCACTCTGTATATAACAAACCTGAAATACTATTTAAAAGTAAAATAACAAGATCATTAATTTCCTCTATAACACAATGTATTTTTTAAACAAATTGTTAATTTAATATTATTAGATATGTGGCGTAAATATTTTTGGGTATTGTATATATTTTAAGGTAATCGGCTGCGTAATAGTAATCTAAAAAACTTTAATCTTTAGAAAGAAATTTAATAGTAATATTTACTCGTATTTAATATTATAGGTATCGCAGTATATTTTAAAAAACACAATATGTAAAATAATAAATGAATTTAAAAATATTAAGCACAATTGTATTAAAACAAAATAATAACAGCAGCAATTTTTTAAATTAAAGAGTTTTCATGGTATTGTTCCTTTACTGGAGCTTAAGTTCGTGATAAAATTTAATCCTGTTAAAAACAAGTCACATTAATAAATTTGTTAGAGCGGATTGCAAAGACGAGTATGATAGTATAGACTGGCTCTTTTTAACTATTAAAATATACGTGATAGTTTAAAAATATTGAACATATTGCAGTGTTTGGGTTTACTAAAAATAATCTGATATTTTCTGCATCATATTACAATGTGTGTTGACATTTTTTAGCAAATTAAATTACTTCTATGAAATACTATAACTTTGAAACGTGCAAGATTAATAACTTTCTCAATAAAAATTTAAACACATCGTACTTCAAAAATGTTTATTTGTCTATTAGAATTTGCTTGTGTGCATAACTATTTATAGTTACAAAAATATTAATCAAGCATGTGAATACATGCGTATGGTTTAATATTTTCAACAGCTGTATGCAAGAGGAATAAAGATAATTCGTAAATTTTTAAGTTCGTATTCAGGATCGATTTCAATAGGGAAAAAAATCTGAAAGCTTTCAGATTTTATACTGCGCTCAAGGTGGCTTTTTTAAATGCTTTTTGTGTTACCTTTATTTGATAAATATCATGTTCTTTGCACTTAAATCACATAAAATAAAATTCAACGGCAATATCTCAAAATATTTAAAAACAGCGTTATCTTTAGAATTTTCGATAAACAGTCTTACGCGTTGGAGATTTTTTTTTTTTTTTTTTTGTGTATATTGTTGCTTTGCTCGCTTTGAAATCTTTGAGTTTATTAATCATAAAATTGTTAAAGATTTACAAAGTAAGAAATCGATAATAAAACAAATTTGAAATTCAAAATTCGGGCTACCAGCTGCCTATTATAAGGTGGAGGATTATGTTATTCAAAATTTGATGGTTCTAGCTACTGTTGTTTTTTCACAGTGCGAGAAACATACATACATTCATGCAGAATTCGCTATTTAATTTCTTAAATATAAATATTAAATATAATAGTTTTGTATTAATGCGATAATATTTCGTGGCAACAATAGTGATTCGCCGCTTATACAGAAAAGCCACAAAATGCCACTAATAGCCCTTCAATGCTATCGCGCCTTTGGGCTAGAAACATTTCGAGTAGCAATGAAATGATTACTTGTATTACCACTAATACTAAATGAAATTAACTTTTCAATACGGTTTATTAACATTAATATTGAAAATGAGTCTCATCCTGTATATTTGCCATTTTGGCATATATGCTATAATAGCAGCGAAACATATTTTACAGTACAATTGTGCAATGTCGGCGTACGAAGGAGTCATTCCTACATGCGCATGGTTTTTTTTTTTACTTTTATTTTACTTTAACACAAGATCAAGAATGCCATTCATGGCATTCAGTTCCCAGTAATGGCACTCAATCGTAGGATTAATACAAAAAGTTCATACTATCATATGACTGCCGTCTATAAGTTAGAATCTGGAAGTATAAACTAAACATGAGAAGTTGAAGCTAATGTTAAAAATATGGGTTGCACGACATCTATTCACAAGCGCACCCACTGATGCGATTAATGTGTAGGCAGCATAGCGTCAGTTAGATAGTATTGATAAGATAAAAGCTTCATACTGTTATTCCAACTCGCCGTTGTCTGTAATGGAATACATAATTTGCTTGCGAATGGTTAATAGAAGTCTGTCGATGAAAATCTGGATACCCGATGACAAATTATTATTGAAGTTTTGATTGCATTTTAAATTATTTTATACTGACATATTAGGAATTAAAATAAATGCAGTATGAAATAATCATAAATCAGACTAATAAAAGCAATTGCAATCCAAGGTAACCATAAATTGTAATAAATGAAAACGATCATTCTAATAACCGAGTACTTAAAATATATTGTTTAGAATCATATAGTAAGAATTAAGTATGAAAATATTAACTTTCCTCATGAAATCATTAAGTCCTCATGAAAATTACATAGTCAATACATTGTAAATTATGTTCCAACATGAAATACATGTTCCAACATGAATGTTGTATACATTATCCAATTTAGATATAATATTAAAAATGAAATCTAAATGTACGTTATAAAGAAATGTCGGTATTTGCTTTGAAATTTTGCTATCTTAAAAAATTGGATGTCTGCAAACATATTATTTCGGATAAATAAAAATACAGATATTAATGCTTTACTAGAATGAAATTTTAATACAGAGTTTTAATATAAAATGAAAGCTAAAACACTTACAGTAAAAGTCGTGTGTACTTAGCTGTGGCTCTGTAAAGAATTCGACCAGAATTGCAAACCATATTACGTTTAGAAAGCATTATCACTCAATTTGACTGCAAACATGCGGCTTTAATCCAAAAATTAAATTCCCAAAGGTGCGCTGTAAAATATAAAAATTTAAACTAGGCATTATGGCAGATAAATATTTTATTCCGCTTAGAATGGCAACTGCAGTCAGGCCGCGTCGAATATAAATAAAATGATTTTTGAGTCCCGTTGCTATAAACTAAATTAAAAGGAGCGTGGGAATCTGAGAAAAGATAATTTTATAATCTAAACTATGTCACATAAACTTTTGTCGGTATTTGCTTTTCTACCAGACACCAATTAAAGTTAAGGGGGAAAACTAGTGCCTATGGGATTTTGAATGTTTCGTCTGATATGTTACAGGTTTATTTGTTAGAAATCCGGGGAAAGATATTTTTGTAATATAAACCATGCCACTTAAAATTTTGCCGATATTTGCTTTCCTACAAGAACCAATTAAAACTAAGGGGAAGAAACTACTGC